ATGGACTGTTCGCACTGTCGAGAAGACTTCTTCCGCAAGTTGTCCAGCTTTGGAATAGATCGGTAGCAGTTGATTCTCGTTCTTGGTGTCAATACCTATGGAGATACCAACCACGACAATGATTGTTGGAACAATACTTATCGTTATCAGAGTAAGCTTCCATTGTATGACAAAGGCGATGATGAATGCAGAGACGAAGGTCGATACACCTTGAATGATTAACGTGAGCTTCTCGGATATGCCATTGTTAACGTTGTTTCCGTTCGTCGTAGCCTGAGTGGTGACCGAGGCTGCTTCATCTGAGTCGAAATACGCAATGTTCTGCCGAAGAATGTGTCGTATGAAGTCCAGTCTTAGCGCCTTAGTGGTCCGTATTGCCGCGATCGAGATGAAGGCCTTGAAACATAAGCATCTGTTTCAGCGATACGAATAGTTTACCACCTACCGAGTGTATGTAGACCAGCCCAAACTTTGCAATGAAGAGATACACAAAGTACAGACTATACTTGTCCACTTCTGAGCGGTATTGTGCCGGCGTAATCGAGCCCGTCGCAAATCCAGTAAATGTTGACACGAATTTCCCAAAGACCAGGTCCCTGTAAAATGAGAAGAATAGGTTAGTGTGTGTTTGTCAAGTGACCAAGGCTAAGCGCTGTAAGATTCCACAGCCCTTTATCTCCCCATATGAAAAACCTAGATGGCGTGCACGTATGACTTACATTAGTGGAAGTAAGGTTCCAGCGGCGATTGCTGCGATGAACGCAATGATGTTGAGCGCCCAACTGGTGCGATCTGCATACTTGAAGATGCGCTGACAACGTTATTTTCGGCGTTTCTCCAGTTCTGCCTAGCATGCTTACCACGTAGCCGCCCATGCCTCCCTTTGGCTCCTCAACCGCGCCATCGCTCTTGTCTGTTGGTGTTGTACTTCTCTTGACGTCATCGCTTGTGCTCTGCCCAGGCGTGTCAAGCAAATCCTTATCTGGCGACATATTTGATGTGAATGTTACATGCGGCGGGTAGGCAGACAGCAGTGCTCTACCCCGATATCTAAAGCCATCTCAATGAAGTTGAGCATTGCGTCCGGACTTTGCAAAGCCCGGACCCGCGGTGAACAGGCGTTCGGAAAAGGGCGTCGCAAGCAGCTGGATATTTCCTTTATGGATCGGTATACGAGTAATGCGAGCCAATCGGCGAATTTTTGAAATCTTCGGCCTAGTCACGGGGTTGCGCGTTCTTCGCATCTCTGCTAGTGAAACCTGGTGGCAGCGTTCGGCTTCACAGCATTATAGTTTTGACTCACTCGAGTAGGCTCTGTTTCGCAATATTAGGCTGTTGCCTATGCTGGCGTGATTCTGGCTATGAGTAATGACATCGTTGATAATTCGCAAAGCCGCGGATCCCGAAAAGTCCGTCCTCCGCACACACCCACATTACAATCCAGTCTGGCACTTCACGCGTAGAACAACCGCGGCACCGATTGCGTAACCGCCACCATGGAAGACGACGACATGGATGGATCGCTTGATGGAGCTATGTCCAAGCGTGCGGTAAGTCGCATAAGAAATACCAAGGGCGGCATACACGTTGACGATCCACATCTAGTGCGATAGTTGCCGAACGCGCAAGATACGTTGCGATAGAGGCCTGCCATGTTCCAACTGCAAGGCGAGTAAATTGGGTATGTTCTACTTGGCATGTTCCGAGGATCGCTGCTGATTCGTGCAGCTTGCAAGACAACTCCTCCCCAGCAGAAGGCGCAGCGACAAAGGGTCCACATCTCTGAAGAATAGTACGTATAAATCGCTTGTGGCGTAGTCGTCACCGTTTGTGGCGCCAGTCGTACCCACACTGCTACCGAGTTTCTGGGTAAACGTGCGTTCGCATGGGCTTAAACGACTTCGCGGCGCTCTCAGGTCGCGTACTGCGGGATGTCAAGTCCGCTGCGGCCAATCAACCGAGTTGTCCGGATCTGGTGTTGAGTAATCTGATCAGGACTGACTCCGCTTAGCGAGAAGAAGATTGATCGAATTGAAGACCGTTTAGCAGGTATCGAAAATGTTCTTGCTAGTCTTGCAACGGTAAAGACTCCCGTGTACGAACAACACGTGAAGCATACACTGACTTCGTACATTAACATTCTAGAAGCTTGGCAGTCTAGACCTCCAAAAAGACTCCCACGATACTAGCAGCCAGTCGCGGTCGAGTAGGGTTGGTCCTTCCAGAAGTCCAGGAAGTGGTCTCGTCGATGCCCATACACCCGCGCCATTCGAGGGCGAGAGCTCCATCAACAGCCAGTCTGATTATGCTCGAGCGATGTTGGCGCAAGCTATTGGGAGCACACCCTCTATCGGCCAGAATGAAGAAGTCAAGATGGCGCTTACTGCTCTTGCAGAGATGGTTTCTCAGCAGGGCCAAAATAACGCGTCTTCCAACCACCTGATCAACAACTCTCTTGCCGACATTGACCCTGCAAATCTAGAGCGCCCACCGTGGGATACAGCGTGCTACGCTTTGGAAAAGGCTAGTGGTAAGACGCCACATATTGTACATCTCGTTCAGAGCTGATGCAATCAGAATATCCAACTATGGCATTTGCGGTGGTGTTTCCATTCTTGCGGATGGCTAATCTTAAAGATATTTTCTACGAAGCGTATCATAACCCAGAAACTTGTAGCGCCGCTCGACGCGTGCTCACTTTTGGCGTTCTGGAGAATGTGTTCAACGAATTTCGGGTCTTTCCACTAGTCAACATGGACACTACTAACTACTACACATACGCCACCATATGCAGGAGGCAGACAGAAGTGGCCCTGTCGCAGTTGGCTATATGCTTGCCAGCAAGCTATGAGAACATCATGGCCTTGGTACTTGGTGCAGCACAAGCGGTTGAGAAGTGCAGACCCTCTCTATGTTGGACTATGATATCGAGTGCAGCAGGCTTGTGTCAAAGCCTAGGTTACCATCGTATCAACACCATGGTCAACGACAACCCGGAAGACCGTCAAACGAAGATCCAAATCTTTTGGATGATATACATGCTCGACAAAACCCTTTCTTTACGCTTGGGTCGCTCAAGCATCCTCCAGGACTGGGACATATCTCTGCCGTTCGTTGTGTCGAGTAATCCTGACGACAAGAATCCCGAATCAAGCGACATGCTCTCGTACTGGATTAAGGTCGCGCGAGTACAGGGTTTGACCTACGAGAAATTGTTCTGTCCTGCTGCCTTTTTGAAGTCTACCGAAGAGCGCACGCGCATCGCCATTGATCTTGTTAATGCTCTCAACCAAGCCTGGTACGAACGAGGAGATGCTTCACTTGTGGATTTCAGTCAGCCAGGCCATGCATTTAGCCTTGGTTCAGAGCGGCCGAGCATGATAGGTCACACCCCGAATGAGACACCGAAACCGTCTCAATACAAACGCTATGTACACAAGTCACCTAACATGGGGCGTGACCCAGGTGTTAGCGAATACATCCAAGGCAAGCTCTCCCATTCCCATCATCAAAACCAACTGACTGATCTGGGAAAAGGTTCTTTTGAGCGTGTTCAAGACATCTTTTTCTACTCTGATGTTGTCATGCACTATTCAACCGTCGCACTGATTCAGAGAGCGGTGAGTCCAAGCAACATGTCATTCAATCAGGAATGTCTCGAGTCTTCACGAGCGGCTCTTGTAGCCCACATGAGAGCAAGTGCGCAGTTCAATAAGAAGGGCCAAGAAGATCTATGGTCGGGATATGTGCACTGGTCGGTTCTCCAGGCGCCCTTCACGCCGTAAGTTGTCCCAGCAATCTGCACGCTGCTCAACTAATCCAAAACAATAGCTTCATCGTATTATTTTGCAATGCTATCCAGAAGGCAGACACATCCGACGTTGATTCTGATATACACTCCCTTTCAGAATTTGTCACCAGCCTCGAATCTTGTCGCACAATTTCTGAAGGTGCAGATAAGCTTTATAAGATGTGCCATCTTTTCCTGCGGGTTACCAAGCTTTACGTAGCGGCTAAAAGACAAGATGCCGCTTCGCGAGTGAGGGGAATTTCACAGAACAAACATTCTGGATACTATACAACTGTGGATGGCACACAACTTGATCTTAGTACTATGTCTCAGTTCGATCCTTATCTCAGCGCGCTCGGCCTAATGCCTGACACCGCATGGCCCACGACTACATACTCCACCACTCCTGCTTCGGCGAACATGAATCCTTTCGGAGAAGCTCAGGCAATTCACAATGCGAACGAATCTGGTGTCGCCTTGGGAACATCACAGGGAAATCAAAATCCTATGCAGGATTGGTTTTCGGGATCACGCTATCTATTGAATATGATGGAACCGGGCGACGATTTGCAAATGCCAGATCTCGACATGTAATAGACAAGGGCACAAATACAAGCTTCACTCTTGGCGTTTGGAAAATAATAGATATCACTAGCTGTACATTTGCTTGTCGTTGGAATATACCCTACTCTTGGCATTATTAGATGCCCTATCCTAGCTGCCATATCATCATCATCCTTCACTGGAACACTTTGACTATCCAGCACTCTCTTGTATCACTTCAAAAATCAATACATAGCACTTTGGAACGACAATAGCCTCTATCTCGCAGTCTTATAAAGCGTGCCAGGGTATAAAATGTAAGCTCTGAGTGGTTTCACATCCACCAACGTTGCTGCGCCCTACAATCTTGAAATCTGCCCAAGCAGTCAAAAAAGCACAGCGTGATGATGCATTGCGTGACCAAGATCAATGAGTGGAGCCCAACGCATGGTTCGTGTTGCGAAACTGAAACGGCTTGTTTCATGTGCGGACGAGAAACTCGAATCGATTGCATGCGAGAAACGATTGAAGAAGAAGAAAAAAGGAACATATTGTAGTTTGCGAGAAGAAAGATGCCAGGGAGCCTCTTCCGTTTGTTCAGTGGAATTATATCGCGAATATCATTAGACTATATACATCGCGACCCGGACTATGTACGACGACAAGATCACACATCGAGATCAGGCATCGCGTTATCGTTAGCCCAATCTTTGATCTTCTCAAAGTTTCTGCACACATGGTTGCTCTCGTAGTCAGGCCAGTACCCCTTCTTACCCTCTTGCGGGTGGAAGGTGAAGACGTTAACGTCCGAGAGACACATGAGGTTCATACGAAGGATCTCGATACAATGATCTAAGTTCAATAGTTAGTCGTGATCAGGAGTGAACGAGTTCGAACGCGAGCTTACCGAGGTGCGCCCTGACCTTTTCAGGCTTGTCGTTCGTGTCGCTCCACCAGAGTTTGGGGTAGTAATCTGGGTACGTCGACATGCGGAGCAGGTTGAGGCAGTGAAGTTGGTGGAAGACTTCCAGGCCAACCCGGTATCCTGTTTCGCCTGTTTTCGGGTCTACGACTTGAAGGGCATCGGCGGGCTTTTGCAGCCTAGGGAAGTCTTCCATGGAAATCATCTGATCAGGAACTACGTATTGTTAATGATGGAACCTTGGGTGAGTATAGTATGGGTGTACAAGGAAGGGAAGCAGTAACTTACGGTATGCGATATCCATCCATGCATTTTCTACATCGTCGGTAATGCCAACGTACTTGGAGGAGTTCAATGGATTTGCTAACTCGAACTTTGTTTGACTGTACTCGACAACATGCTTGGCAGGTGCTAGACTGTGTTAGCCAACGATCCTGAGTGATCGAGACCTGTGAACATACAAAAGACGTCGAACTGATCCATCAACTTCGCTGCTGAATGACCCGAGAAGTCTTTTTGCGACATGACCGAACAGATCAATGAAAGCATTGATAGTGTGAAGAGGAAGAGGTTGAAGAGTGTAAGATAGATATAGCTCTTCCTTCTTTGCCTGTCGTCTCTCTGGTATTGTGTGGTGATAAAGGCGGTGTTTTCGGAGTCGCCTTGCGAAGAGCTGGAATCGGTATACTTCTCCATCGTGACTCTTACAGCGAGAGCTATACAATAGATGTGATGTGAAATTTGTCTTTACGACGTTGGAAGAAGAATTATTAGTCGACCCGCGATGTAGAATAGAATGACGACCGCTCAACGTTCGAGTAAGATGAAAGAAAACAACGATGGACAAAAGCGTAGTGAGTAAGTGAGAATTGATAGCCCAAGGAATGAAGATTAGTCTTGCGACACCATCCTCCGATACGTTTTGGGTATCGCCAGAGGCAGGTTACCGAAACACGGAACATCTCAAACGATGCCGCCATGCCGTGCATGTCGCTCCCTGTAAGGCATCTCTTTCCGTTGACGCCAGGCAACAATAGCCTTGTGCACCCGTCTGCGACAAGGCTTTAAGGCAACAAGCTTTTACCAAGCCTTCTGAGACGCAGGAAGTGGGGACGTCTCAGCATTTCCGTTGGTTCAGCCGCTGCTTGGGTTTCGAAGTGGACACTTAGCCAAGACTGGATGTTCATACTTCGGCACCATCGTTTCAGCTTGGCGCGCCAGCCAAAACGGGGTTCCTTTACTGACATGACACGCACATGGAACAAACGTCCCAGCAGCATGATGACAGAACAACGGAAATAACGTCAAAGAGTTGCCTGTGCTAGAGGCGAACCGCGGCTTCGAGGCACTAGTTCCATGGGTAAACTCGTCGGTTACAGTCTATCCAATGAGATGCGAGCCCCAGAACCCCATCATCATCTGGTCAAAGCAAGCTATACAGATCGCATTGCCAATAGCCAGAAGAATCATCGGTAAAATGTCGCGGAACCTGAGGCTAGACGCAGTTGCGCGGCGGCTCGGTTTGGACACGACCTTATTCTTCAAACACTGACAGGCCTTGTCCACTGCTGGCGGTGTCGTTGGTGGAGACGGAAGCCCGTCAAGACCTTCCGTGTTTGGCTTCCCGTACAAACGCCTTCCACTGCTGTCACATCGCGGTAGACTCGATAACCTACTGGGGTGTCAACTCCGCTTCTGTGCCGTGAGCAATGCAACATGTCTCAGGAGCTGGAGGAGAGAGCAAGCATGTACCCGCTGTGCTTCCCCGGAGCATACTTCAGTTATAAAGCATCTCGAAGTTCCAGAAGAAAGGGCATCAAGCGTTGAACGTGCTCATTCCTTCTCACAACCTGCTCAGACCTGTTTCATCTATTCTTCTCTGCTGGCAGATCCATTCTTTCATCCAATTCAAGACTCATCTACACTTTCTTCATAATGAGATTTACCGCACTTACTCTTTTGGCCCTGGGTGCCTCAACCTCAGCCTACGTTGTGCCAAACAACAAGCAAGCCGTCGATAATGCCGTCAAAGCACGCATGCCAGTAAGTTGGCTGATATTGCTTTGGATGATTTATACTTACAATCTTCCAGGGAAGCGGACCTGTGCACGCGGCCAACCTCGTAGCTGCACTCGCAGATCGTGGAGTTGAAGCTCGCCACCATAAGGGTAAAGGCGGAGCGGGCGCCGCTGGTGGTGCCGGAGGCGCTGGTGGTCTAGCCAAGCTCTTCGGCCGTGATGCTCAAGAGTTGACCCAAGAAGAGGACGACGCTCATTGGGCTGACCTTCACACTCGCTCTCCTCACCATAAGGGCAAGGGAGGCAACGCTGCCGGAGCTGGTGGCCGCGGCAGACTGTCTGGACGTGAGCCTGAAGCACACCACAAGGGCAAGGGCGGAAACGCTGCTGGTGGTGCAGGTGGCCGCGCTAAACTGTCCGGCCGCGACGCTCAAGAATTGACTCAAGAGGAAGACGACGCTCACTGGGCTGATCTTCACACTCGTTCTCCCCACCACAAGGGCAAGGGAGGAAACGCCGGCGGAGCTGGTGGCCGCGGCAAACTGTCCGGACGTGAGCCTGAAGCACACCACAAGGGCAAGGGAGGCAATGCTGCTGGTGCCGGAGGAGCTGGAGGCTTGGCCAAGTTGTTCGGACGTGACCCAGAGGCACACCACAAGGGCAAGGGAGGCAATGCTGCCGGTGCCGGAGGAGCTGGAGGCCTCGCTAAACTGTTCGGACGCGACCCTGAAGCACACCACAAGGGCAAGGGAGGCAACGCTGCAGGTGCTGGTGGACGTGGCAAGCTATCCGGCCGTAACCCCCAGGAGTTGACCCAAGCCGAAGACGATGCCCACTGGGCCGACCTTCACACTGGCGACAACTAAACGTCAGCAAGCTCTGGCAGGATCATGAACAGTGTTGGAGAAAGAAGAGTTTGTGTAGCGGATGGACTGGATGATTCCCTTGGTACATGTTTTGGCTTTCGTTGACGTGTTCCTTTGTTGATGCGGAGGACCTGTAATGTAGATATAGATGACGAAAAACTGATCAATGATCAAGACCAAACCTCTGCCTGTTTGTATTAATAGTGTGAGTGATGTGCTTTCCCTAAGCTTGGATGTTCATGGAGGCATTCGATGGCTTTAAGAACTTAATTATTTTGTACCAGTGCATCAATTGTATCTGGCTCGTTGCACTATGACATTGTGGAAAATGTAGTGGAAAGTTGAGGATACGAATCGATTCGACGACCGGAACGGTATAGTCCTAGATACTAGAGGGTACTCCAGTTGATCGCATAGCTCGAGTTCTTTCACTGCATGTCTTTGATTCATGACTGTACAGTCGTCCAAAAGCTTCTGCTCCCAGCGTTCTGATTCCCATGAGTGCTAACCCACATTTGGATTAGCGCTATATACCCAGAAGAACGCCATCTCTTCCGGCCTCAAATGCTGCCCAGGCCCTGTTCTTCCATCGGGCGCTTGCGGCCCTTCGATCCCGGAATAAGCACTGGAGTTTCTGTCCAAGTACCAAATTCTGGATCCTCGTGGAACTTCAAGTCGATGTGCAGTGCGCGGATCCTGGTCAGACAGGTGGACTTCCTGTCTGACCAGGATCCGAGATCATAGGCCGCCATGCGGCGCGATCAGTCGTCAAGTAGCATTTCCACCCTCTTCGACTGATTCGGTCCGACGATATGCATGTGAATCAACGCACAAGCGTTGACCCAGAGATTGCCTTGCATGTTCAGAAAATTTGTGTTGTTGCCTCTCACAAGCATTTTTCTGTCAGCAGTTAGTGATGTGGAAGAAGTTCGCATGCATGGGTCACAGAGTAGAGTACTTACCGGATATCAACGACGTTAGAAGCTTTCTCGAGGTGGGATGTGAGTATGTCGACATCGGTGTTCGCTACCCAGAAGTCAAGGCATAGATCCCAATTCCGCAGGCCGAGCGGGATCATTTTCGCCTGGTCGCAATTCTGTCGTGTGAGTAAAGTAGCAAGGTCGACGGCGCATCGTGGAGGGTTATCTTTCATTCTATGATAGAATGAAGCCTTTCGGGTTAGGCGTTCCCTCTCAAGACCCTTGGCGAGGTGTAGCGCGTCGACTGTTTGTCGGTACTCCAACTCGTACGTGGTCTTCCAGAGCCGTTCCCCCGATGCTATTGCATCAAGGAAGGCCTGGCGCTCCGCCGTGCAGATATTGGTCTCTGCCTGTGTCTCGTTCGGTGGTTGAAGCTCCCTCGCCCTTGCTTCGATACTAAGGTTGGTTTGTTGAACGAGGAAGTTCTCGCTACTCACTTTGCCGGGGACGTACTGCATGATGAACGAATTCGGACCAAATTTCTCGGTTTGGACTGACTCCCTTGCAGTCCGGAACACGTTGGCAGCCCTGGTTTGATCAACCGGATCTGCGTGTATCCCGACAACAATGTGTGACATGTTCTGAGGTACTACACCGTGATAGGCGGCGAGAACCCTGCTGATTTTCATTGCCTGTGCTGAGTTGGGCACATCTGTCGGTCCATTGACCGACAGGCCACTGGTGTTCATGCCAGCGGTGACTGTGGTAGACATGAGGTTAGCACTGGCAAGATTCACATCCTCTTGGGTGGATCTTACCTAGTTGTTCTTGTATCTGCAGCTCAGAGTAGAGCAATGACGGAGGAATTTCGCATGCCAACTCTGGAAGGCATTTGATCTGAATATTGGCCATGGCGATGTATATAATGGGCGCTGGTGGGTTGGTTGATGTTGGAGTAGGAAACTGGGAGGTTATTAGATAGCGAAGTCAACATATGCCACTGCCTGCTACTGACACCTTTACCTGAAGCCGAGAGCGGGCAGGCTGGTGTTTGTGTCGCCGTGGCCCCACTTGCGTCTCTCACCTTGAAGGTAGCAGGATCTATTTCCTGTTTGTCTATGATATCGATTGCGCGCCAGATTCGTACTTTCTAAGGTTGTGTCATGGGACTTGATACAACCCGTGCTCGGTTCGTTTCAATGGCACATCGTCGCAGTAGATGCCGAGGGCGCGCCGCAGCCAGAAAGTAAGGCCATGATCGTCGGTAAATAACTGGCACGGGTACGGAATTCACGCTACCTAAGCATGACAAGAACTCAAGGATCTCACTGAGCAGCACCAAACGAAGGGTACCGGTCACCAAAAGCGTCATGAGGAAGGTTGATTTCCGCGTATAGCAAAGATGGTCTATACAGATCTACCCTACAGACACAAGACTGCCTGTCTCGTCGACATCGGTCGTGCTAGCTATGCAATTCAACATGTTCAAGCTGCAACCGACTGCAGACAATGTGGTGACTATTCGAGGTTCCTCTTCAAGAACGCACGCCGGAAAACACCGTCTAACCAGCGTGTTCTACAATCTCGCTAACAAGCTTGCCGTCCTTGATATAGCTCCTGATCTGCTCAGGCAACGGGTTCTCGGCGTAGTCGTCTTCGGTGGGCAGATTGATGTTTATGCTACTGCACTTGCTTGTGAAAACTTCAGTTGCTAGCGAATCCTTGGAGAGGTATACGGTAGCGCCGTCAACTTGGTCGAGCAGGATGGTGGGGAGAGTGCCGAGAACTTGTAGCGCAAAGTTGGGACACTTGATCACGTCCACGGAGCTCACCAGTGAGTCGATGATGAGCGATGTGCGGGAGGAGTTATCAAGCGAAAGCGCATTTGCCTTGCCATTGATGCGAATGGTTGTGTTCTTGCAGCGGGAGATGAGGATGGAGTGGTTGATTTCGGCGTCGATCTCGATTGTCTCGGATGGTGAGTCGAAGTTGTCCTGGGCACGAGTTAGCGACAAGTCTTACCACATATCATCTGAGCTACACATACTATTATCCATTTGTTTCCGTCCAGTTCCTTCTTCGGTGGCTTCTTCGTCCGCATACTCTCTGGCTTCTTAGCCTTGGGCGGCGCAGGACTCTTACTCCTTAGGCTGCCGGTGCTATCGCTTCGCGTGGGGACTGTGGCATTCGCTCGCAACGACGGGTTCTTATGTGTCATTTGGCTTGGGTCGACCTTCTTGAGCCCCTTTGTGACGTCTGAGCCCTTGTTGAGATCGCCAAAGACGGCATTCATATCGGGCGCGGCCTTCTTAGCAACGGGCGCGGCACCTGGTGGCGGTGGAGGGCCTGGCGGTGGTGGGGGACCGGGTGGTGGTTGGACACCTCCTGTTGGAGGAGCTGGTGGAGGAGGAACGCTCGACGCGCCTGAGAGGGGTGCAGAGGAGATCTCCTTTGCGGCGTCTTTGGCGTCGATTCCGTTGCTGTTCCAGGCTACGCCTGTAGCGTGGTGTTTCTTTGCGTACTCGGCGAGAGCTTTGAACAGTTTGTAGTAAGCCTGAACCCACTTGACATGGGCGTCACCGTCGGGCCTGAATATGTCAGCACTGCCTCAAGTAGGGGGGTGGATAACCATACTTGTCGCGGTACTCCTTAAGGACCTTGTTGCCGTACATCTGAGCTCCACCAAACAGCTCGTTGATGTGCTCGTGAGGCTTCATACCTCCGCCCTGGCCAATTGTAACCCATCCAAGGGAGCCAACACCATCAGCAACCATGGAGACGGAGTCTTTGAGCGCGGGGTCTCGGTTGCTCTGTCGGAATTCGTCTGTCTTCTCCATGCTCGCCTGGAGATCCTTGAGAAGCTCCATCAGGGTGCGGTCGTCAGGCTTCTTAGCCTTGTTCGCAATGAAGAGGAATTGGCGCTGGGCGGCGAAGGCTCCCTCGACTGCTTTTGACTGGCCTTCGATGACGCTTCCCAGCTTTCCGCTCAGGTCTAGCCAGTTCTTCAAGTCTGAGTTGACCAGCTCATCGAAAGCTTCAATTGCGGGCGGTGCGCTTTCCGCGACGAGTTTTGGGGTGTTGGCGCTCGTGTTTGCCGCTGTGACGCCTGGAGTAGCATCAGCGGAGGCTCCATTGAGGCTTGCGGCTCCATCTCCGTTGTTGGGCAGAGCGGTGCTAGCGATGTCTTCAAGGCGCGAGGTAGCAGCTTCGAGTCTACGGACCATAGACGTTAGTACATTATCCGTTGTGACGCGAATCTGGCCATGTCGACCGAGGATGTGTGCTTGTTCGGGCTCGGGGGCCATCGTGGGGCGCTCTTGCAGAGTAGCGAGATGCGCAGAGTGTTATAGGGCGGTAGGTTTGGGTGCTGGTAGGTCGTGATTACAAAGGAAAGACACTTACCGCTTGATCAGCGTCGTGAGGTTATTCATGTTGTTCGCCATGTGGAGAAGGCGCGTCTCAGCGTTTGTAGGGAAGGCACCTGTATGCGGACAGGTATCTTGAATGCTCGGGGAAGGGGCAGCCACGGCACGCTGCAGCTTGTTCGGCGCCTCTGATTCGTACTGTGGAGAGGGGAGGCTACAAACAGACAACGGGAATTCGCCCTGTCTAGATTATGAACACAGCAGGATATCTTTTGGTTTCAAAAGCACAATGGCAGGCAGAACTTCAAAGGGTCAGCTCTCCAGACGCATGGCCACGGCTGCCCACATGGCGCTAGCCGTCTGCAGCCAAGCCTGGTCCGTTCGAGACATGCACGTCAGCGGCATGCTATCAACCTTGCGATCTACACACGGCAGTGTGCAAGCATCCAACATGGCTAATCAACATGCTGAAAACCATGACAAGATTGATTTCTGCACTCTGGGAATGTTCATCATAGGTAGGCATGTAATAATTTTCAACGCGTTCAAGCCGCTGAAACCACCAAGATGAGATCGAATTTCCCCCGCCAAAGCCTACAGTCAAGGACATCGTCGGAGGAGCAGGGTCGTACTCGGCCTTGGGCGCGCGTATCTTCTCCCCTCCACCACAGTCGGAATCCGTGGGCTGGATTGTAGATTGCGGATCTGATTTTCCGCCTGAGTTGCGCGACTTTATCGCGCAATGGAGAACTGGTGTGCTAGTACGCGAAACGCCTGAACGGTTGACTACGCGAGGCTGGAATGGTTACACTGGCGAAAATGAGCATCGAGGTAAATGTCCATGTGTCGCCTATGAATAATTCAAAGTCTTATTAATCTCATGAAGCATTTCGATACTTGACGCCGAAGCTGCGCGTAGACCACGAAAGTCTGATTGGTACCGATCTACTATGGTCCAAGTCATTTCATCTGATCTGTTCGCCGTTACGCTGCATCGATCTGATCGAGAACATCATTGCACTACGCAAACAGGGTTCCAGTTCGACTGATGTTCGGCGCCCCGTGTTTATCTGGGAGCCTGTTCCTGATTTATGCACACCCGCAGAGTACGAGAATTGCCTAAAGGCGCTCAAGTATGTTGATGTGGTCAGTCCGAACCACGGAGAGCTTGGCGGCTTCTTCGGCAGGAACACGGACGGAAAGGAGTTTGTGGACTTCCGAACAATTGAGAAGCTGTGTAGTCAGTGGCTGGACAGTGGAGTTGGTGACGGCAATGGCGGGGTTGTCGTACGTTGTGGGAAAGATGGCTGCCTGGTAATGCGCAGAGGACTGCGTAAATGGATGCCTGCATACCATCAGTCAGCAGAGAAAGTAGCCGATCCGACCGGAGGAGGCAACAGTTTTCTGGGAGGTCTGGCGGTTGGCCTACTCCGCGGTGGCTCCTTGTGCGCACCAGAGAATCTCGAGGAAGCCGCGATCTGGGGGACCATCTCGGCGAGCTTTGCCATTGAGCAGATAGGCATGCCCGTTCTCTCACAGTCAGGGGACGGGGAAACGTGGAACGGTGTTGGTGTCCAAGACAGGCTTTCAGATTTCAAGCAGCGGCTGGCTAGTTATGTACAGCCTTAGTCGCGTTGGCTGCTTCCTATACCCCCCCTTCATCTCCAATCTAACCCTCAATTGTCCTCTCGATGATGTTCTGGTCTTGTTTCCGCTCATGCTCCCTGATCTGTTTGCTCCAGCTGTGCCATGGTTAGCATGCATGCGTAGGCTAAGGGTGCAAGTGCAGGTCGTACTATCGGCTGGGGAAGAATCGGTGGCGTTCGGGCATCTTGTCGCGGTATTCGCGGTTTGCGCTGAGCATCCAGGCCATGCCGACGATGCTGCCGAGGGCGAGGCCTACGACGGCCGTGTTGGCTTTCCAGTTGGCTGGCTGGGCGTACCAACCACCAGCCGGCGACCAGACGTGCTTGGGGTATCTGCTGGACGTCAATTCTGCACTGGCACGCAATTGGCAGTCGGCTCGTACGGGATCTTTCCTCCTCCGCCCATGGTGAAAGTGGTTGTGCGGGTTCGTGGGGTATGCTGTCTGCGGAGCTGCCGTGAGGTCGCAGTCGCATGGTAGGGCTAGCACGGGCCCCGAGCTTGGCGGAAATTCTTTGGCAGTCGCGATCATGACCTGTGTGAACACACGACCGGGCCAATTGCTGCTGCTGCCGACTCCGCCGTCCTGATTCTTCTGCCCTCCTCCCTCGGATTTTGCCTTAATGAAGCGGATACCCATACAAAGATGCGCCTCGCAACTGCTGGGTGCGCCCTCGCCACGCCGGCCCTCGTGTCCATATACTGCGGCGAAGAATGTACGGAGAAGCGTCATACCTCATAGCCACCGGATACAGGCTAGGCTCCAGAGCACAGCAGCACTCCCAGATGACGGGGCGTTGGAACTCGAGATTGCAGCAAACGCTGGCACACCATCGACACACAAGTCAAGAAAGCAGTCACGGCAGCTTGAGAGCCTGCCCTCCCCACATCCCAAAGCCGCCGAGCGTTCGACCAAACTACACGCCCTGCGAAGTCGACTGTCCCTCCCGCCTCGCTTCCCCCTCCAAACACTCGCACGAACCCTCGTACACCCCTCCGCCGACCCCAACCCCGCCTTCAATAATGCCTCACTATCCATACTCGGACGCCAGCTGCTTGGCTACTACACCTCCGAGTGGCTTCTGTGCAACTATCCCCGTCTGCCAACAGACGTCGTCTTCGCTGCAGTAGAGGCCTACATTGGCCCGAGAGCCCTCACCACAATTGCAAGCGAATGGGGCATTGAGGCCGCCGACGAACCGGGTGGTGAGGTCGATCCCGGCCTACTACAATTCAAAAGAATACCGTCGGGTGATGATCTGCCACCCGAGTTGAGACGACAGGCACCCTGGAAGTGGAATGTCACTACCACCCACAAGATCATGAAAACCGACGAATTTGGCTCCAACAATGCCGCACCGAGCCCACACGCGCTACAGAGCACACCAGTGCCATTGGAAGAGGCCGCTTCATCCTTTGTTCGAGCACTCATCGGTGCCATGCACGTACACATTGGCTCTCCGCTCGTCAAGCGGTTTTTCCGTGACCACTTCCTCAGCCGACATCTCGATATCAGCACAATCTTCGACTTCCGGATGCCCACTCGCGACCTTTCACGGTTATGTGCGCGGGAAGGCTTCGAAGCACCCGTCGCCCGATTAATTTCAGAAACCGGTCGTTTGAGCAGACATCCCGTCTTCGTGGTTGGCGTATACAGTGGAAAGGATAAGCTAGGAGAGGGGTCAGGCAGCTCATTAGACGAGGCCCGGACACGGGCAGCGGCAGCAGCATTAAAGGCATGGTACCTCTACAAGCCAGTCGAAGTCACCGTCCCAAGCAGCATGGAGGGCGAGTTGGATACGAGCAAGTGGCGGCCGAACCACATCGACCACGGAGAGGTTATTGTGTAAGATATACGGCATTAACCACACTTTGGAGTTGTAGAGCATCTACTTTGGACATGGATGGCATGGACGCACAGCATACTCTTCGCTTGTACAAATTAAGAATAGTCGAGGGAGGGGAGAAAAAGAACTGTGTCGGAAGAAGGCCGGAGAGGAGGGGAAGATTTACGCCACGTTATGCCACGTTGAGGGTTCAAGGCCGGCGCACCCAGCAGCAGTGCGCATGTATCATATGTGACATGAGGATACCACGATGATCCGCAATGTGTACAATATAAGACGAAATGTTGCATCACAATACCCAGTACCTGTCAATCCGTGCCTTTCTTGATGCACTATTTCATATTGACGACAGTGCGACTCTTTGCAAACAAGGTGCAAGCTGAACTGACCCATGTGCGTGACACTGTAGCTTGGATTCAATCTTGGGAAAGTAGTCAGATTCTTTCTTTTGCGGGGCCCATGTATGAACGGCCTTACAATTTGGCACTATCGTCAGAGAGAGAGAGAGAGAGAGACACAGAGCAGTGGGAGAAGAAACTTGCTGAAGAGGAGGAGAAGGATGAAGAGACTGATGAAGGAGATAAAAATGCTACCGCAAATGCTGCGTATTTGAGTCCTTTCCGTCGATTACTTGAGGAAGAACGAAAAGACGAGAGCAGGGGGCACGATGAGAGGATAAGAAAGCAGGAGGGACGGTGAAGGGAGCAGTATAATACCAACATCTCCATATGAGAAACAAGCTCCCGTCTGCATCGCTGGTGATACTCTTCCTCGAAAGATGTTCGCGATCTGGAGCTTTCTCGGTAGATACCTGTAAAATATGGCTATAATCTTCAGGATGCATCATAGCGTTTGGGTGATAATTGAACATGGAACAATATTTGTACACTAGCATAACATTCTCAGAACAAGACTATGCTGGCGACACTGTTGTTGTTCCCTGTAACTGGGCGCGCTTTCAAAGTCATTGCTAATGAGACTATTCCATTGAAGATATCTGGGATATAAACGCGTGCAATGGAATCAGGGACTAGCACGGTGCTATACATGTAACTCATCATTATAGTCTTTGGAACATCCTCCTCTTGATGTGGTCGCAGCTCAAAATCATTCTTCTAAAATGCACGCTGGGTACATCCACTGACAAGCATGTTACCAAGCGAGGTGAAAACAGAAAGAAAGAAGCAACGAACAAGAAAGTCTTCCAAGAACGGGGTCGCAAGAAGGGGTATCAAAGGTCCGACCCAAATTCAGAACGGACAAGATAAGAAGAAGGTAAAAGAGGGTACCTGGCCCATCGTTATGGGATACGTTTCCGACTCGTCCTCGTTGAGATTCGTTTCCGTCTCTCTCCGAGCTGTCAAGTTTCATATACCAACCATCCGGCTTCGACGTGCCGATTGACCGAGAACTTGGGAAGTCGATGTCTAACATGTTTCGCCAAGTATCACCTTGGCGTAAGCTCTTGTTTGACATACTGTTCGAGGTTCGACATCTTCTTTACCAGCCACCTGCCGGTTCTAACCTGCGGGTCTGGGTTTGGAAGTACCCATCGAAGACGCTTAGTTCTGGTTTGCGCGGCGCGTGGTGCTCCGAAATATCGACCAACGTCGCAGTTGATGCACCATTTACGCCGAGAGATGCTGCTGCTTGCCCACTGTAACCACCACCATCTAAGCTACGTCGTCTTCCTCCAGTAGCTTTACCGCTACCCAGACTCGCCAGAACAAATCTCATCTTTATTCTATCCTTTGGTCCGGGTAAGAGCATCTTCTCAATAATGGTCAGCCACTCGGATTCCGCCTTCAACTGTCTTAGCTTCCGGCCAGATCCGACCAGTCCGTTTCTAAGGTTCGAAGTGGTCGCTGCATGCAGTCTGTTTCGCCAGCTTGCGACTCGGTCGAGGTGTGCATGGTATGAGGCATCCTGGGTGGATGCTGCCCGATATTGCGCAAACACAGATAGTGACTGGCCTTGTGCTACCGTCATCATCGATAGAAACACGCAGCCGAGCGAGAACACGTCCGCCATTCTTTTACCACGTGAGACAATCGCTTCGGGCGCTGCATAGACGTAAGACTGATCCTGGAAGTACATGTGAAGCTGGTCTAGGCGTTGAGAGTTCGCCATAGTCGGACTGAATGTGTCGATACTCTGTCCAATGTCGAAAGGAGCGAGAATAATGCGAGCACCGTCTATTAGGATCTTGCGAGGTCGAATGCTCCGGTGGCAAATAGATTGCGAATGAAGATATTCAAGGGCAGAGGACAGATCATACATCCAGTCCACTAACAACTTGGAGCGGTTCGGGTCGCTCCCAGGTAGCGCAAGGTAGTCGTCCAGAGTGTATTGCGCTTTCTCCGTCACGATTCCAACATGGCTTGGCTGAGAGTATGAGCAAAGCAGTTTTGCAATGTTCTTATGCTCATGTTGCTTGAACTTGTTTATCTGGTCCAAGAGCGCAGTCTTTTGAGAGGCACGAGCAGTAACAAAGCGCTTTCGCACTAGCACGCGATCATCGCTGTTACCTTGCATCCGAACCCAGTCAACGCTCTTTTCAGAATTGCGCGATGATCGAATAAGACTGATATGCTGTAGGGGTACTGTTTCTCGTGCAGTGAAGTCGACATGTGCGCCCGTCAGTGGTAGTTCCTTGGATGTGGCGCGCCACTGCTCCCCAACGACTTTGCGTGCATTTCCCACAATGCCTTGGAGACGATCCTCCGGGAACGGCAAGCTCTCATCTCGAAGATCAAAGAAAGAGGCTTGACGCCATGACGCAACATCGTCGCAGACAAACAACAAAATTGCGAGCCTAGGGTTAGACAATGTCCACTGCCATATCTTCTTTACGAGACCAGCATCCCATCCCTGCTTTCGTACGAGCTCGTAGAACCATCCAGAAAGAGACTGACCCTGAGATGATAGAATAGAGGTGTTGATGTATCCATTCACCAATGGTACTAATGGAGCGACAGGTTGTCGATATGGATTCATTGGTGAGCCTGGGTAGTCACCATTTCTGAACGACTCCCCAGGAGTTTGAGGAGGTGGAGACATGGGCGCGAATCCTGCTACCGGATTGATCACCCTTATTGGCTGGGGAGCAATAGGTGTTGTCGATCGGCTGGTATAAGG